ATATGTTCCATGTCTCATAGTTACATAGCTACAAATTTTCTACATATTTCATGATCTTCCTGTTAGCAACAAGTTTTGAGACATATTCACAATAATTTCTGCAGACTCTAGTCTAGACTAAAGCAACGAAATTACTTTTCTCTTGACAATATCGCTAAAACTGGTGTATTGACTTCTGTAAAATATTTGTTGTCAGTGTCTTTTGATTTGTTGCCTGCAACTTGTTTCGTTTTCTACAATTGCATTGAAGTTGTGAAAACTTTCATACTTGGCAAAGTTTCAATGACTTTCGTAAATTCAGATGTCTTTTGATAATAAACATATAAATGTTGTCTCTTCGGTCGCAAAGTTATTGCTTTTATTTTTAAATTCTTATTGCTTTGACTTGAGTGGGTTTTCCACAGTTTGTTACATGGAATTTTAGAATCGGAACGTATATCAGGGTATCTTACGGTTCCTAATTTTCACAATTAAAAATTGAGAAACCTCCAAGAAAAAATCGCACATTTTAATATAACAAAGTACTTAATTGCTTAGAGATTTCTTCTTTCAATGCGTTTTCACATCTTGCATTCATTCACTTCACTTTATGACGTAGGTGTATTTGACCTATGTTCAAATAAAAATGACTAGGTACTTGTAACAGCGAGATGCGGGTCGCCGTTCATTATTTGCCATCTGAGAACACTCGAAAGCCGGCTATCACTTGTCTTCAAGCAAAATATTTGTAGAACGGTCCAGTTATATAGGCTCCGGCGAGACACGACCGCGTAGCACCGATCTTCACGTTATGCAAGCTAATAAGTTCATTATTAGATAATGTTAAGGAAAACGGTTAACCAGAAAAAGTAAACCAAAAATGTAAGATATGTAAAGGCCTTGTATAAATGTACGATAAATATTTGTGTTTAAAATAAAACTTGTGTTATTGATATCTGTGTAGCAAGTTTGTTATTGATTTTATGCGTTCAAGTTTGTTGTGTGTGGAAAATTATTCCATTTATGTGTTTGAGCTAAGGCATATTAACACGCTTAACAGAATTACTTCAAGAATTTCGCTAAATGCCGTTAGCAATCCGTTACCAAGCCGCTTTAAGATTTAGTATTCCAAGGTCAGAACTCTCACGCCTACCCTAATTTAAAAAGTTTTTAAAGTAAGTTAGTGGTTAAGATATAACATTTTAAATCTTATATATTCCACAATCCGTCTGCTAATGCAAACGTAAAGCACACGTTATTAGTAGCAGTATATTAAGTCTAATATATTAATGAATTAGTACACTGTAATTCTCAGAATTCGTAATCAAAAATTCACAATTTACCTGTTACTGTTTGTCATGTATTTTTGTAATCTTAATCCACAATAATACCTAAATTTGCCTATGAGTATCTGCGGATAGAAATTATTAGTTGATGATATCGTCAATTAACCACACAAACTATTGATATTCCTAATTATTGCGACTTAATTGTGCTAATTAATTATTCTTTATCAATGATTAGAAACATTGTAGAAACACCGATTACATTCATTCTAAATTTAAAGCGCAGAATTTAGTTTTTAAAATAATTTTAACTTGTTAGAACGGTAATTTTAACGGTATTACCTTGGTAACACGGACTGAAATTAAAATTAAATGAGGCAGGAAATATGAGTTCAAATTTTGAGCAGAACGTCGACATTTGTTCATTAAGTAATGTAATTAAAAGATATTTCATTACCTAGTTTCAGTTTTCATGATAGAATTTCCTGAAAACGTTTTTGTATGCTCAATTTTTTTAACATTGTAAAACAATTAAACTGCAATGTAGAAATAATCGATATTAAAAATCATGTAACAAGGAATTCGCATATTTGTGCAGCAATACAAAATGTGTACTTATCCGATCTTTATCCAAGACCAAATAAATACACGATCGAATCAATTACAAGGTTGCGTCATTCGTAATGTTATTGTAAAAATATGAGTGTTTCCGCATATTACATAAAGCCAAGAATGTCATTCAAGTACTACGTCCTCATTAATCATGTTTTTATTTGACAAACCGTCGTAACATTATGTTAAAAATCAGTTAAACAAACAAACAGATACATAAATTCAAGGAGGTTAATTCGTAAGTAATGTTCTAGAACTGAAAACAATCGGGGAAATAAAACATTCCAATGCATAAATCATCTGGAATAATGAAGCCATAGTTTTAAAGTAAAAGGATTTGTGTTCCAAAGACAAATGCCACCTGTGCATGTTATTGTCTTGTGATATTAACATTATTTATGAATCAAAATTTTAAACGTCCTCGCGCCACTATTATCAATTCAGGATTGTTGATATCTCCTTGGTGGAGAATTGTACACAAAATTCTCTCGTCTTACATCTGAGATTGTAAAAAATAATTTCGGCAGTCGATCCGGAGCATGTAAAGATATAGACTTTGAAAAATTACATAGCTTGAAAATCTTAAAAAATGTATTTCTATGATTTATTCTATAGTTGTAACATAGTTACTAAGTATTGTACATTTTATTCACCTCTAACAAAATCGAGTTATTAAAGTAGTGTAAATAAATACATACGAGCTTTGAAGCAATTCCAATTCTAATTTCACAACAAGGGCTTTTAAACTTGTCGATATGTCGCCGTGAAGTGTGAATGCCTGCGCGCTACCTCCATTGTTATACCTAACTTCAAGTATGTAATGAAACGTAGACAAATAAATGATTTTGTGTTCACTAATATAATAATAAATAGTGCGTATAAGTTCAACCAAGTTCATCGTTGCCGTGTCCTTTGTAAACTTTTCCATGCAATCATCTGTACGTATGTAAATAAAGGAAACTGTATGAAACTTGAAAGGCCACGATGCTGTAGTGTATAGTACTATTCAAACTTTACGACCGCTCGCAGTTCCTAAGAACAAACTACGCAAAATGACTGGAAAAAGAGATGTGAAGAGGGACCTAAGGAGTGCGTCTTCCTTTAACGCTGTGGGTATACCCATCTGTGGACAGATTTGCAGCTGACAACATACCGACATAAAGTTTGAACATTGTGATACATTCGGCCAATATCAGACGGTCGGTCGCTGTGCGGGTCAAGGCGAGTCTGTCAAAACAATCTTCTTTACTTGGACACATGATCGCATCATTTTATAACGTCTAGAACCTTCATAATTCACTGCACCCACTATTGCCTTCGAATTGCGTATCTGTTAGCCACAACAACCGTGTTAACATATAGTGTAAAATCCAATTGTAAGTTACCTAATCATTCTAGTTACAATTTTTTTGTATTATTCTGTAATATGTCGGAAATACTAAAAAAAATAATTTTTCATGTTTTTGACCTACTTAGCAGACTCAAGATGGAATTTCAAAATCGCATATCAATCGTTTTCCACACATTTGAATGATGGTTTAACGTTTAAAGGTGTTGACTCAATTTAAATTATCACAAGGTTGTATTCGTTATTGCGTCGAGGAAAGAAGTCGCGTTTTACATAAGTTTGCAAAAAAAAAACAGAAACAGTTTACCGTTTAAAAAACAATCGAAGTTTGTTGTTTTAAAAACGGTTATTCCGACATTATTTCAATAGTGGATTAGCTTCATAGTTAGTTAATCGATTCGAACCGACTAGTTACATAACATTATGCGGCTCGGCCGGCTGTACAAACTCAGCGTACTTGAGCTAGGAATGCTTTAATAGTAATTAAATTCACAAGAATTCACTGAAACCAGAGAAGACTTAATCTTACAAATATTATAAATGCGAAAGTTTAGATGGTTGGATGGATAGAAGGATAGATGGATGGGTGTATGTTAGAGTTTGTAGCCTAAACGGCTGAACGGATTTTGATGAAATTTGGTATAGATGTGGAGGATAGTCTGGAAGAACACATAGGCTACTCACTTTGGTTTTTTAATTCCACGCAGACGGAGTCGCATAACAACAGTCTTCTGTTTTTAGTGACTCTGTTTTTGACAGAAACAGATTGGATAAAGTTAAGAATGTGTACATTAGAGGAAGTTTGAAAGTAGCGCCAGTGGTGGAGAAATTGAGAAGCAAAAGGTTAGCGTGGTATGGACATGTTATGCGACGAAATAATGGGGACATAAACCAGAAAGTGTTGAGATTGAATGTGGATGGCTACAAAGGAAGAGGAAGACCGAAGAAAGTATGGATGGATTGTGTGAAAGAAGATATGCTTAAGAAAGGAGTGAATTCAGATATGACGGCTGATAGAGATGTATGGAAGAGCAGCACATACTGTGCCCCCTCCATAAGGGATAAGGGCAAGTGGATGATGTTATTGACAGAAACAAATGATAAATGATTGCTGTATTGATATGATATATCGAATTTGTACGCAGTATGTTTTTAAAAGAAAGAATAGGAACGGGCATTTGGTGCGAAACTGCTAAGTGTGCGTTGGGCAATCTTTGTTTACTCGTATATTGGCCAATATTTGTAACTATGAATTTACCTTGTTTACTATAAGTTAACAAATAAAAACAAAGGAAATATACAAACACATACATAGTTAGGTTTCATGTGAATTTCTCAGTGCAAAGGAAAAGTTAACTTTGTTTAACTTTTTTTTAAAACAAAGAAAGAAGTAAAGTTAAATGCAACAATTTTATCGCGGCAGTGAAGAATTAGTTAACTACAACGAAAAGGAATAAAGGTAGGTACAGTCACATTGCCCCATTTTGATAAAGCCGCGCATAGATTAAACGGCGACCACTCGAGCACTCAGGTGCATTGCAGTGGACGATGCTCGTTCGAAACTGTAAACACTATTTATCTATGTACAGTCGTGTACAAAAACACTACGTAAACAACAAATTAATAACAGAAATCCAAAAACTAGAGAAAAGTTTGTAAGGTCACCGACAAAAGTCTTGCATCCACACATGAGAAACACACGCACACCAACAAAAAAGTTTAGCTTATAAGTTTATAATCAAGCGAGGTTTTTATCTCGTAGTCGTACGCCAGCCGCCGCGCAGCGCGCATGTCCCCGCCGACGCTGAAGCCTTACAAATACGCGCGTGAAAATACATACGCTCGTATATGAAAAGTATAAAAAGTAAAAAAATATTCAGCAGGAACGTTCAAAGAAGCTCAGTGCGACAAAGACGCCTAACGTGCGAAAAAGTGAAGCGTTTTCAAATCGCGCAGGCTTATTCGGGAAAATTATGAAAGTGATGTGAAACATTAGAGGTGTTTCTGAACGGAATACGTCCGTTTTTCATGTTTTTTTTCAAGTGACTACAAAAGCTATTGTTCACGGTTAGATTTCACAAAGGCATAAAAGTATGCTATATTGAGTGTTTTTTTGTCGCTTTTGAATGCGAACAGTGTTGGAAAAATATTACATAAAAGTGAACTGTACTGTTTTAGTAAAGGAACAGCCGCAGAGTAATTCAGTTAGATGCATGTTCAACATAATATACAACGGGTCACAACATGACGGCAAAGTTCGGCTATGTAAGTCTTAGTTGTTAAATTTTTTTTTTAGTTCTCGTGCTGGACTGACGAACGATTTTCATTTCCGTTGGTCGTTATCAAATGCGTGGATTCGTAGTAGGTTTTATTGTGCATTGTAATGAATGAATACTTATTGATTTGTTTTCGTTATTTTTGTAAGTACCTTTGTACGATACGCCGATAATGTTGTCAAGGCGAACGTAGGTAATCAATAGGCGCTCTAGCGCACAATAATCTATTGTTGCTGATAAATGTTTAATTTTAAAATATAAAACTCATTTTAACATTCAAGTTCATACACAATTTATAAAAAAAATATGAATTATTATTATTAAATTACGGATGTGAAGGAAAAATGAATATTGAAAATATTAATTAAATTATAAATAATTTAAAGTTCTGTAGGGAATGGATACTTAAGTATTATAACCTTTTAGTAGGCATCATGTTATTAGAGTCTAATTGATATTAATATCCTAACCAGTAAATCTTATTATAGTATAATATTAATCTTAAAATAATTACAGAAAATAATTTCATTTAACGATTTTCAATTTATCATAGGTCTAAACTGTAATTAATTTTAAAATGAAATAGTGGCTGCTATGAATTTTAACGCAAAAAAAGCGTAAAGGAGTTTCTATGAGTCTGAAAATGTCCGCCTATGAATTAAAATCTTTATTGCCTTGTAGCTTTTTAATTAAGTTATATATTTTAACTGTAAAAACAACCAAAAACCTATTAAGCTGTGATCGAATTATCATTAATTCTAATTTCCCATACAAAACACCTGGTAGTGAAATAAATAAAATTACAGCAAATACCGCGGTATTAAGTAGGTAATTACGGACGTTATTGTTTTACAAATGCCGTTAAACAAGTGACAGTCAACAACTTGCAAAGGTTTAGGTTTCAAGAATCGTTGCATCGTCATTAGTTAGGGTGAAAAATTAAAATGAAAAAATATTTACTGTAAGAAAAAGGGGTGTAGTTTCTGCGGTGGAGGGGATGGATTTAAAACTATGTTTTTCATTTAATCTTACATTCTTTTAATTGAAAAAGGCATTTCCAATTTTTAGTTTGATGTAGATATGGTCCTTTCTGCCATTTTAGCGATGACAGATGGCCTCTTACCGCCTTGTAGTAAAACATAGACGTTGAACTAAGTAAGACATTTTTGTAATTCACGAAGCAACAAGATTTTATCTCTCTTACGTTTATTGAATGATTATTAACACGTCACCCGAATCATTCGATTTTATGTAACAAGCTGATATGTGATTATAATTCTCTTTGATAATTCTTACAATTCGTTCATCCGGTGATATCTTTATCCTTATCTAGTTCAATATCTGTTAGTTAATCGTATTTTAACATTTGTTTTTGGCTTTTAATAGCTCTTAGTCTTTACGATTAAATAGATTTTTAAGTCAACGTTTCCGGTGTTTGTTTTTATTTTACAGATATAAGCTTAAAGAAGATATAAGGATAAGAAAGTATTTTTCTTTAACGGTAAAATAGTGAAACGACATTTCGATATGTAATAGCGTCTGATGATAAATTCACGCATAAACCTTAAGTTCCATTAAAATTTTAATGTCTGTCAGTTTAAGCAGAACTTACAGAACGAAGTGTTTAAGATTCGTTTCAGTATTCGGCTGTAAAATAATAGAAATAAAATAGCTATTATTGTCCTTTGTAGTAAAAATCTTGTTTAGAATAATAATAAGGATAAAATTTTAACGAAAATTTCTGACTTATCGAATCTGTTCAATTAATTTAATGAGCTACCGTGTATTCACACGATAAAAGCTACCTAATAATGATAGATGAAACTTGAATTTTCTGCATACATTTCAATATTTTAATTAAAAATGTATGAAAGTCAAATACATCCTTTTATTGTATTATTTCGCACATTTGACTAATTTATTGAGGTCGTATACTTATTATTTTTCTATGTCACAGTTATATTTACTCCATTAAAAAAATAAATCTACAATTAGGATTTTTTTTTAATTTCATTTTTTTATTTTGTATTTAACATGATCATAAAATTTTCTAGTTTGACAAGTAATAAATTTACTAAGAAATAATTACTTTTGAAACTTGTAATGCCAAATTTTTCCATGAAAAGTTGAAAAGATGCTGCTTATTAAAGAATATTAGTCCAGGTTCAAGGCCTATGAAAATTGTTATACCATACGTTTTTTTAATCTATGCTATTATAATAAAGCGTAAACACACACTTCTTTGTTGCCTAAGATGTCAGCAATTACAGCATATTTTTTGAATAATTCTTTTTTTAGTAAAAAACCCTACACTTACGTCACGATTTAGGCTATATATTTTCACGCTATTAAACTTAGGGGACTATTTTGGATAAAAACCCTAATGTGAGAAAGAGACCATAAGTTGCTGCCAACATCAAGGAAGCAAAATTGCCATGCTTGGTCATCATGTCATGTCTGTCATTTTGACATTTGAAATTGAATTTGAATTTGACAAATCCCAATCCGCTGTGGGAGAGCCATAAACAAGAAATAGAATAGAATTTGACAAATGTAATCAATAAAACAATTTTTTATAATTTCATGCGAATGAAGTCGCATGGGAACAGCTAGTTTTTAATAATAATAAGAGTGACAATTATTTAATACATCTCTGTACTTGTCTTAAGATATTAAATAAATTGGAATGTTTAGTACAGGACTTGATGACTCAATGAAAATTAGTTTTAAGAATAAGAACGGATTTCCGCAAATTAACACCTAGCCTTATAAATTATCAGTTTATAACGCTGTAATCAAGTTTGACTCAATAAATATTAGTACAAAAGAAGAGACGCCTGTGTACTTTTACACCTTTGTTACTCAACGTTCTAACGAAAGTAAACAATAATTAGCATAAGTTTTTTTTAAATTTTATGACGAGTTTTTTCAATAACAGTTACGAGTCAATGAAGTTACTTTAAAATATCAGGCAGTTTTTTTCCATTAAGTGTTAACGAAAAATTTAAAAACATTCCGCATAGTGCAACGTTTAGTGACATTTTTTAAGTCTGTTTTCAGATTGTAACTATACTCAATTTAACTAATTCAATAGTATTGGAATTCTAAGCATTTTATTTCATTTATTGCATTGTATATATTTTTTATACGAGTATTTATCTGCCAAGCGTCTATGTTACTTTAAACCTATTAGCATTCGGATGCGACTAAAAAAACAACGTTAATTGCAAACTGATAACTATGGAATGGGTGGTCTGTCTTCTATAAGATTGTGTAGCACCTGGCCGGAAGTCTCGGGCCTTATAAACTGAGCACAATATCCGTGTATAGCGCTTATAATGCCACCGAGCCAAGATACGTGCTATATCTACACTGATTGCATCGATTAGGAAACGATAATTACTTGATCTTCGAACTTGCTTTTTGTTTTAAAACGTTGGTGACATCGCGATAGATAGACAAGGAGTTTGATGACTAATGATTAAGGGCAAGTATCCTGTAGCGCTTTTTCAACTAAGGAGGAAATATTGTAGAAATGAACGCAGTAGAAAACTGTATATGATAAGTATCAGTTAATGGTGTTTTAGAGACATAATACATAAGCGTGCCATTTCAATGGTTCCTTTTGCTTGCATTTTAACGCGCGCGGTAAGAAAACGCTCGTGGGTAACTGCCCTTAGATATTTTTGAATCATATTACTATAAGTACGTGACACACTGGGTGTTGATTGTTTACCGAATCGTTTGTAATGGGTAGAGTATGTGCTGATGTTACTGTTATTCGAGGCCAGGCCCGCGTGACACTGGAAAACCCGCGCTGTTCTGTGTCAGCATGTTTGAATACCAAAGTTATTGACGTATAAACACTAACATGCGAAATAAAATTTGTTAAAGCATTACATAATTAGATTTAATATATACAATTAATAATTATTCGCCATTAAAGGGTGCATTATTTAGATCCAGTGTCTAATGTGCCCGCCATTTATTTTAGAAGACAACTTCTGAAACTAAATAACTAAATTCTTGATTGTTTTCAATATAGTAGGTTTGTTTTAATACAATTTCGAAGGTTTGTTGCGAGGTAAAATTACACAAAAAAATAGCAATTTTGTAGTAAAAATGTCACCTGCAGTTTGGGAACCAGTGGATCAGTAGATTAAAACGAAGCGGCTTACGTAGCCGCCAGTGGCGCCAGTCAACTCTACGGATATCGTTTTACATTTGCGTCGTGAGTTGTACTCACGTTAACGAGTCAATACAACTGAAGGAATACAGCCACGTTAAAAGAATATTGAAACAGTAAATAATTAAATAGATTTAATACTTTTTAGGTGAAGATAACATTCTTATCTAAGGAAAGTATGTTTTATCAATTGAGTAAAGAAAGGAATGTAAAATTTATGAATGGTTTTTTAAAGTAAAAATCCCCCAATTTTTAGATTATCTTATAAGATTTGGTGTGTAATCTTGTATGGTATGAACAATAATAAATTTAATTGGTATTCAAATATTAATTAAAGCTAACATTGCAAGAGTATAACATAATTTTTTACACTATTACGCATGTCAGGCAGAGAGAAGAATACTATCGAGTATTTTAAAGTATTTATATACAAGAAATTGTAATAGCTTTGTATAGCGCCTCTACCAGGCATAAATTACACCAACAAATTACATGCATATTTTGTCGATTACGTTACGAATACATTGTCGGATTTGTCGAAATATTTGAGATAGACCCTCTACTGACGTACATATGTCATACGTATGATTGTCATTACCTGTCATTAAACTATAAATTAATTAAATAAATCCTTACATTTTACATTTAAAACTTCTAGTGCTATTCATAATCTTCGTCTTCGTTATTAAAATAAATAATTTGTTAAAGATGGCGCAGCCTAAAATAATAAAAAAATATTAAGAGTAAAGATAACAACAAACATTGTCGTGTTAATCCAGACGATAAACAATGCTCAGTGCATCCTCACCACAAATTTGCTTAACAATATTGACGCTTTCCATTTTCAAGTGGTCACATCCGGAACTTGAGTAAGACTAATAAATGAAGAGCTTAATTTCAAGAAAAAAAACTTCAATTTATTCAAAAAATAGATAATGTTGCAAACATGTAATATTATTTTGATTTATTATCGTATTATTGCGGAATGTCGTTTCGTAGCAAGATAAAAAATAATGGCGCCGTGACAAAAATGTTAAAAATGTGCAAACAAAATGAGTTGAGTTTTATTTGTAATTAATAATGCTCATCGAATTATATTAATGTAATTCATCTATAATTTATAGCTGTGATATTGTCCGTTGAAACTTTTAAGCGATTTTGAACCTTTTGCAAATACAGCTAACGTGCAAAGTATTACAAACTCGGCAAAAGGTTTAAAATTACGACGATATCTTTAACCGTGGGCTTCTACTGTTAACAGATCTGTTCAAAAATGACAATTTCTTTATAGTTTCAATGTTGTGTGTAATGGAAATCCACTTTAAGGTTCTATAAATGTTGAAAAATCACTAACGTTTGGATTTTCTTTTCTCAGGTTACCACAGCTTGCCGTCTCAGCGAAGATATTGTGCCTCCTGATGGTAAGTAGCGATGTTAATAACAGTATTACTATATTCAAGTATATTAAATAACTATAACTTTTATAATTGGACTAGAGACTTAAATATTAAATACAAATTCCCTTTACGTAACAGACTGAGACTAACCGAATTATTATAAAACTAATCAAAATATTTTAAATATTTTCATACAAAAGTATTCAACTGAATTCAAATTAAACTTTTGTAATAACGACAAAGGTCGAAAATAACTTGGCTACGTCTTTCGATGTTCGTAGCACTCAAGAAAAAATATTCAATTATGGATTGCTACACATGTTGCTAGGCGGTCAATTAAACATTCATTTCGGTGGATTCAGGTGGTGGCTTACTCGTTTGCCACTTTATATTATAAAAAAAATTAGAAGTAACTTATCTAATAGCCAATTCTTAAAATATTTTTCTATGTTAAATTTACTTTATTCACCACTATAATAGTTTTTGTACTAAATGAATCCACTGTTGAATTATCTTTTACAATTATAACAAAATTTAAAAAGCTGGACTTTAGAATATGAGTCAGAGTTACCACCATAGAAACAAAATTAAAAAATAGTGCATGCATGTAGATAAAAAGAAAAGCCTTCTGTGGTTGATAAAAATGTTTTTGCAGACTTTCATTTTCGATAAAAATAATATTTACGATCAAGATATATAGATATGACGATAAATATAGAATAGGTCGGGGAAATACCACAAAATCCATATCCATATCTGAGACATTTATAGAGCAAATTAGAGAGAACAATATTTAGGTAGAAAAAGAATGTCTAAGGCCCAGTATACGAGCAAAAGTAACACACAAGATACCTTTTTTATTTCAGTTTCTATTTACATTATTAGGTATTCACAAAGATTTTTAGTTTTTGACTAGCTTTCGCCGCGACTCTGTCCGCGTGGAATTAAAAAAAACTTAAGTGAATAGCCATATGTTCTTTCAGACTATCCTCTACAACTGTACCAAATCATCGAAATCCGTTCAGCCAATTTAGGTACAAAATCCATCTAAACTTTCGCATTTATAATATTAGCACAAAGTATGATTATTTATGTAGGCTCTATCGCTAATGTGCCTAAATGAAAAAATCTTGATACTAACATTCGTATGCTCAAGTTAATATGTATCAAGAAGTATTTATCTTCAGCCCATCATTTGCCGTGATCACGAACTGCACGCTACGCGATGAAGAAATTTAGCTTTATTATATCGTGCTGTTGAGCTTTCATTATTTAATCCACCAGTTAATAGCGTCTTGTGTGGCCGACGTTTACTCGATGGCCAGTCTTTTAAACTGAATACGTGTTATTTGATCATTGAAAGTGATTTTTACGTGTTGTAATTGGCGTTTTTAGTCTTTTTTTGTATTTAAATATTGTTAGTATGAAAGTTTGACTCAAATTGTACTTTTAATTTTTTTTTGATAACATTCAAAGATATAATAGAACACAAGATTTAGATCGTAACAAATTTTAATCCTCTCATTATAGATGCAATGTGAAAAAACGTGATTATATAAACAAATATTAAAGCATAGATAAACATTGATTTTTATTTATGTAGAAAAAGAGTAAAAAACAGTTCTGAAAAACCAGAAAATAAATACATTGCATACTTTTAATAAACTAAGATCACTTTTTTTTTCTATTCCGTGCATTAGTTGCGAACTGAATGGCACTATTTTAGGACGGTGTGGAAAGAAATCTGTTTGCCGCCCAACGAGTTGTTTGGTATTTGTCGTGCAAACACTTATTACGTACAAATATAAATATAATATGTAATCAGGCCAGCGGTTTGCGATGCTACGAGCATACCTAACGAAGACATAGTAGATGGAACTACTTTTCGTAGGAAAAATTACATTTGTACTTTTTTTAAAAGAAATTCATTGTTTATTGTCTTATAACTAGTATAGTAGACTAAAACATTTAACTTAGTGTCAATACTTTAGTAGAAACGCACAAAAACCTATCCGTAAAATTCCATTGCCGTAACATTTCTTATAAAACATACTTTGTCTTTTTTCGAATGTGAATGATGAAGGATATAAGAGCGTTCGAACACCTGAAACTAAATTGTCGCATAACTGTTTATCCTATGATCTTATATGGAGGTGTGCAGACTACTCGACTTTTAGTTGTGCGATAATTTAGTCAAAGGTGTACGCACGCTCTGAATTCTCACACAAATATTTCATCTGCATGACGAACTGCAAAAGTATTAAAGAATTAGATAACGAAGCGCCACTTCTTAGTTACAAAGTCAACATATTGTGTCACTGTTATGTATCTTTGACAGGTATTTGATTATTCATCTACTGCGCACATTTCAAAGTCTGAGGGTCTATCACGAATATTTGCGTGACAGTTGCAAGAACGTATTCGTAACGTTATCGATATAATTCATTTGGGTGTTGTTTGTGTTAAAAGGCTGGTAGGAGCACTGTATAAATCTAATAAAAATTTCATCGATTACGTTACGAAAACGTCCTAACTAATATTCATGATAGCTCCTCTGCTCCACAAGTGCTGGCTTCAAGTGGGTCAAGTGGTTTGTCATAATAACAATATTACTGCTTCCTTCTACATTTACTGTAACCTCACAACTAAATTATTATTAAGTACATAAGTTGTTTAAAAAATCATTATCTTGTAAAAACAATCATTACGTCTTGTTTATCAAAAGCGTGTGTGGCCAGCCTAATCCAACGTATAAGACAGGGCGAAGATAAGACATCGAAGTATGGATCGTAGCAACCGTTCAGTTATAAAATTAGGCTATCACCGTCTCTCGTATCGATATCTTTTGGTGACATACAGCGTAGTGACGAACGTGATATGCGACTTAAATTCTTTCATCATGACGCTGGTAGATTTACGTGAATGCATATTTACTTTTCCTTATTCCTAACTAACTTCGTTCGTGCAGACAAAAACAAACTTATGTAAATTGTCTATGTTCTTCCAGACTTTGTTCTACAATTGTGCCAAATTTCATCTAGATCGATTAAACCGTTTTAGAGAGGTTTACGTAGTAACAAACATACATATAAAAATGTCATAAAGTGTCTAATATTATTGTCGTTGTTATAATGTTCGCTGGCACTTTAAAAAATGCCTTTTATAATCTCAATTTATTTTATTGTAAATTCGATTAACAAAATAAGTAAGGTCTTATTATTTGAGTTGATGTCGTCACATTGTTTTCTTCAATGTTTAGTCATATCAAGAGTATCGCGTCGTGAACAGTTGTATATCTGTATTATGTATAGTAATTAGCAGGTAAGATTGACTGTTGCTCTTATTTAGGTCAGTTGTATGTCTATACGATAAACCTTGTCAACATTATCAGTGCAGGTTGACCTGAAGTTCTCTAGAAAATTTAGTGTCATTGTTGGCATATGATGCTAAACATCAGTAAACTATGATAATTGTTATATTTTAAAGTATGGCATTAACGATGACATCTTCAGCCTTATGACGAAAAATCACAAACACAAACAGACCCCGGTTTAATGTTTTATCTTGAAAAAAGAAAACGAAAGTTAAATAAGGAATCTCAGACTTGGAATGTGGAATAGAATTTAATAATTTATTCTCTGTTATCGGTCGGCGAGATAATTTGTATTCAAGTAGCTATTATAACGTGTGGGGTCTCGCTCATCAAACGTCCGCATACGAACACGATATAATTTTCGTAATATTGATTACAATTATCAAAGTTCGCGGCTTGTAAATTTCCGATACATTTGAGATGAATAGTTTCGCCAGGGTTGATATGTAATCAACCGTTAATAATGTGTGCGTTCGGGTTAAGATAGATAAGGTTAGTTGGTTCAGTAAAGTGACCTCCAAATGCTTAAAAGCTTCAAGATCCTTTGATATTCACTCTCCCTATATTTTACCTACTGGAATTGATGGGTACCGCGAAATTAATAGGTACAATATCATAAAGATTTCTTACCTAAATTGTTTAAAATATATCAAAGAAATTGTACTGTGGTGGCCGATTAGATATTAACTTAAGTAATTATTTTATTAAAAAAAAACCGAAACAACAATAGTCAGGGATTGCACTTTGTACTTTGTACTATTTTTTACATTTGTCGAAAATGGTATAAAATATTAATAACAATCTAAATTAGGTGAAATATTGAAATAAAAATTATTAAAGTAAAAAGTTAGATTCTTATATATTCTTATGTTCTTCAAATTTAAGCTCCATTCCACGATATTGTTGTAAACTTCAAAATTTTTATTTAACTAAGTAGTTTTTTTTGCATCAATTCCGAATTTTCGAGAAATTAAAAAAGAAAAGTACAAATGACGTTCGTTATTTAATATGAATGTCAATGCGTGTTTGCGTTAACTTTATTAGAGTCGCCTAGCGACCGTTTTAATGCTTTAACAATACGCCAGAGGAATTTATTAACACAAACAGATAAGACACGAGATCGACACGCAACCTTGATATAAGTTTTAACCGCCTTATATCAATAATATGGGTAAACAAATGTTCATAAAAAGTTAAAGTCCATTTAAACAATTTTTATTGCTCTTGACTCGGTCAAATGCGATAAACGTACTGATATCAATAATTGTAATTGATTAATATTACTTCTAGATTTTTAATTGGTAACTTTGTAATCATGTAATTAAGTCATGTGAGATTTTATGTAATTTCTATTGCAATTTATATTAATTGTATTACATTGGTTTTATGAATTAATTACTTTAATCTTTGAACAAATTGGTATATTTGCGTTAGCGCCGTTAAGACTTCTTATAAACTAACATAACTTCTAACTACAGTATAGTTATAAAAAATCCGTAAATATTTTCATAACCATAAAATTAATTTGATACATATTTTCATATGCGGTTATTGGGTCGTTAATTTTAAGTATGACCTGTTTTGACGTGTTAATGATAATGTGTCAGGTTTATTAAGACCGGCCAACATTTTCATAATGAATGTTTCGTAATGTGGGTTTTGGGCTTCGACCTACTCGAAACTTGATTAAAAGTGAATTTACGATTATAGGTTAACTTTTAGGGGAATGTGATTTGATTTCGTCATCACGAAGAATTCCATCTCGTGATATTTTTCATAGTATAGTATAATAAAATTGGAGTGTCTGTTTGCAATATCAAAAGAAACATTCCAGGTTCGAGAAGATGATGTATTCGCGTTGCTGATAACGAAAATCGCATTTAAAAATTTTTTGTCTGTCCAAAGTCCGTAGGCGCGTTTGTTCCGGGTAATCTCCGAAACGGCTGGACCGCTTTCGACCGGACTTTCACAAAAGGGTAATGCGTGAATAAAATCGCGGGTATTAGCTAGTCTACAGTAATATCACCAAAGTGAAGAGACCTTTCTTAGCGTAGACAAATTTTAGATGAAGATTTAAATGGGTTTTCTTCCTTTTAAGTTAATACCAACTCTTAAACGTGCAATCTTAAGGATTAACATTCTCTATTGTGTTAGTTTTTTACCATTACCCAATGCATAGGTAATTTCTTTTCTCACAATTTTCACCTTTGAGTAATTCTTTATTTACCTTTGTTTATTGGAACGAGGTATAAACCCTATGCGTAAGAAACGTAACTTGAAATGCAATATGGCTGATCAGTGACCGCGGCGCGGTAGCCTATGCTTTCCCACCTGAATATGACACCGCCCCTTTAATAGTAAAAGGTCGTAATACAAGATTCTATAACATTGAATATGCGACTTTTTAAACATATCAAATAGGATTTAAAATTGTCCGAACTTGTCCAATTCAAGCTCTCAGCTTGACGGCTAAGCTGAGCACGGCTGACCCATTAAAACGATCGATTGTTTCCTTATTGTGCTCAGCACTGAAGGTTCTATTATTGTTATAATTCTGTACAACTCTTGAAATTCCTTTGATTGCATTTTTACATTGCTTAAAAATTGTGCAAAATGTTTTCGTTTTGTTTTTTTTTTTTATTAAGCGCATTTTATTAAGAGCATTGAACATGTTAGTGGCTCATCGATATTCAGTAGCAACTGCACAGACCACTGAGTATCAGGCAGATTGATCAATATCTACTTAATGAGGCTCTCGAGGAATACCGGCGTCATTAAAAGCCAAGCGAAAGCAATGCGACAGTATAAGGAAATTAATATGAACTATTAGACATGTAGTTGTTAAAATTTCACCGATACGGACCTCACATGTAGTTATATTCTATTTTACAATGTGTTACCCACATCAAGCAATTTATTAATACTCTCATACTGTTTTATTACTTTATTAAACTTCAATTCTTCATATCTAAAAGGCAATATAATGAACTTTGAAGATTAACACAACATAGTGCTGTAGAATTGGCGCAACACTAGATTATCGGCATAAACGTCACGTCCTTAGCTGACAGCTGTCAATGTCATTCTCGCGGATTGGTTATTCTCCCGCATTCCTAGCGAGTACTCTATTGAAGTGTTTAAATTAAAATGGCTAGCTAAAATCATATTAATTGTTTAAAATTAGTTACACTTAAGAATAACCTGAGTGTAAGCAAACATTAGTACATATTTTGCTTATACTCAGTTCATTCCTAAGTTTAACTTTATACCGTGTTTGTTTGTAAGGTTATAATATTTTTTTATTAAATACTTTGGTATTTTTTTTTAATAATACCGATTATAGTATTTGGAAGTACAGTCAATCTAGTAATATCTGAGCCATTGACTGGAGTAAACGTCACCAGCATTTATAGCACCGATATTTATATATTACTGTATTCTCTTTAGTATAAGCAGTATTAATAACAGCTAATAAATTTTCTATTAAGAACATTGACATTTTAAGTATAGTGTGTTAGTGTTACTTCCAAGCCAGCATTGCGTAGTTAGATTTACTAATTAACGTTTAGGTTACGACGATACGACTACCATAATTAAGTCAATTTAACTATCACTTGCAGCTCTGCGTATGTTAATCGATGCATATTTAGATATAGCGGTAAAGTGCTTATGATATCGACCTATGACTGACCAAGTCTGTAGCTGTTATAACTTGCACCTATAGTAGTCGCGGACGAACATTTCCTACCCATTTGAAATGTCATTTGACACGCACAATGCAATAAGTTGAAAATCATAACATCCTATTAGTCAATTATAGCTCGTGTGCCGACCGTTCTTATACAAAATTCGACTTTCAGTGGGAAGGGAATTTATTTCTTTTAACATAACAATCTTAATATAGTGAATAAATACAAATATTCAAAATGCTTTTTTAAAATCGTGATTAAGATCCTAATATCAGAAACATTTAAAGAAATACATTTAGTACTACAAGGAACAATTTTCTCCCTTTCCAATTCGTAGCAATTGCTACGGTCTTAAGATCAATGGTACGATAATTTTACACAGACGTCTTACTAAATGTAACCTTTAAAATACATATTATTCAAATGGAAAACCAGTACAACAATAAATGTTGTAAAATCATCTATAATCGATATTGTACACGCATTTCATAAAGTTGTAACAATAAAACATTTATGTAACTAGATTAATATTCAATTCGCTACAAGTTATGGATAGCTTTTGATTTATTTTTTACTTAATAAATCATTGTTTTACTTATTTATTATCAGATAATATCAAATTAAAAAGTTACTATGTTGAATTCTTTGTAAAAAATGAAGAGTTTTAAATATCTACGAGTATGTGCCAGTATAGCCAAAAAGGAACGAATTGATTGAGTGAGGTTTTTGTTATAGTATTATCGTTTATGGATCTAAGATTTAGGTAAAGTAGAGAAGGTACAGTCGTGTAGAGAATCGCTAGAGAAGTATAGGTACAGATGATACGAAAAGTGTCTCATTATAATACGGGCAACTGTTACAGGTGGTGATCTGCGGTGCGGTGCCATCGATGGTCCGGTCGGTTCGTCTCTACAACCAGTGCTCGCATATGTACGTCAACGTGTTCGCCAACGGCACCGTCATGGCCCGCTCCGATGGAAACGACCATCGTAAGTACTATTAATGTCACTATTTCATTTATTCGCTGCATTATACTTGCTTAACTTTTTTCCAGTCAAAAACAAACTCGAGAATCTTAAATTAAATGTATTTATAACATTAATTTGTAACTATATTTTTACAAAACAAATTAAATCAAAGTGGGAGGAATTTATAAATATATACCAAAAATCAAAAGTCTTTCTTCATACAAAATACGAGCGTTCGTATTAAACCTCCGCGTTGGCAAGGTAACACGACGTAGTAGAGTAGTGGCGGGTTTACTGTAATCATGTTGGCAGGTAGGGCCAGACGTGAGGAACTATAGGAATATGTCAATACTGCAAGGGTCAACGGCCAGCCACTGCAACAGGTAAAGTCCTGCGTGCAATATAGCAAGCGAACGGTCACCACGTAGGAATAAATAGGTTTAGATTCCTGGCCCACGATTGTGGTCGTAGTGTCGCTTTTATTGTTTTAAAATTGATAAAAAAATCAAAGTCAAAATACAGATAGTGGTTTTAGAATTAATCTGGACTTTGTTTATTTTGAAACAATTGTAACTTGACCATAGAGTAACATCAAAATGTAATGTACATATATGTGCGAAAACATCATCATTTATTTTTATTGTTTGTATAGAGTAATATAGAAACGATACGTGAATTAGATTTTGATAAATTAGATAAATGTATACACAAAATCCTACTGCTGCCTCGACTATTTTCATAATTATCTTGACAGCTGATGCAATAATCATTTTTATGCAGTAAATTCCAAGGAAGTGTTTAAACACTAGTAATGTTTGACGCAAGAGCGGACGCTTTTTAACACGATCAACTGTTCAAATAAAAAGTACTTTCACCTTCAGTTATTTAGTGCGGATACAGACGTACAGTGTTTGCTTATGGATTATCGCAATTCTTTATATAATAACGCTACGCGTAGCAACGAACCGCTTCGAAATTATTCTTGAGACACTTTAAAACCTATTAGATTATTTTATAATTAAAATAATTATCCTAACCTTCTATTTGTCTGTAATGTTATTTAAATCTGTTGTACATACACTGTTTTTTTAAGAAATAGCTCATATAAAATCAATTGTTCCCCACCCCGGTAGCAAATGAAATATTGTAATAATTGCTATTGTTTACATATTTTAAATACTACAAGCATTATCAAAATATAAAATAGTATTTATATCAATGACATAAAATTGAAAATCGCTTAATTCAATGACAATTATTAATTACGTCGCGTAAGTCAAAATGCCGCGTCAGATTGTAGAGTTCGCATTACACCCAACAAGCGCAGCTGACCTAATAAAGATCGCAATCCATCAGCACTTGGACACGTTAATAAATTTAATATTAGCATGATTTATTTGTCAGTAATATTACATTGGACATTTCGAAACCCGCCACCGGACGACTTGCATACAAGCAGATGAGCTCGATGTCAACTCGTTACATAAGTTTTTCTTTCTATTGCCATCGCATGCATAATCGAAGTGAAAACTTTAGTAATTAATACCGAATTCCATAGTATACTTTCTCAAGAGACTGTGCATATCAAGGAAAAGATAGATTTATCAATGTTGATACACCTTTATATATATTCGGGTAGGTAAGTCTTCTGCAAAAAACTGCAATGAAACATTTTTTTTAATTGATTTAATTTTGTGAATAGCTATTAATTAAAATCGTTGTATTAGATCGTAAATAATGTATAACAGTAAAAAGCTATTCATGTCAGACACGTGTATCAAGCTAACTCAATTGGTTATTATTAAAGCGTGAATAAACAAATGATATCGATTCACTATTCGATTAAACAATACGATCGATAATCGCGTGAGAATTTGTATAGAATCGGTACGTGAAAAACGACCACTTGACGCTCCAAGTGTGGAGCAATAAAACAAAATACGAGCAATATTAAATTTAACGATTTAATATTGCATCACCAGTATACATTGACCTCTAATTATCCAACACCATACTAACAAAGTTACAGCGCAAATAGTTCTAATTATCTTAGCCGCTTCTATCCCACAGACACATTGCACCGCCTACTGCCGAATATCGCATAAAATATGTGACTCTTTTTAATTAAAATTAGATATGAACGCACTGATAAAGAAATTTAATAACTCGCACTGAGTTAGATGGAAAAAAATACTAGTTACCTAAAGTGTTGATGGCTTGAGGCGATTGTAACTCAATTTTGATCGTAGAAGATGAGTATCAATAAACTTTCACTCTACTAACATTGTACGCTTTAGTATTGATTAAAAAGATTAGTAATAATATCATTTATCGGTATTTGTGTGTTTAAAGGCCTGTCCCACCACTGGCTGATAGCGCAGATAGCTTAAAAGTGACGTTAAATAGAGTACCAAAATCCGATACTTTTATCACATATTTTACACGTTGGATTGTTTCATGTATATTTCTGTAGAATTACAAATGTTATTTTTAAAAATTATTTTAAGGAACTTCGACGGTGTTCATAAAAAAAGAATGCGGTGTATCATAATTTGTGTGAAATCAATCGACGACGTAGGCGGTAAGGCGCCTTCCCAAATTAAGTTGTTATATTTTAATGAAATGTTATGATAAAAGACCCATAAAGACCGAATGCGCAAAAAACTACCGCACACATGCGGGCACCCTCATTAACGTTTTATAATCTAGTAAAAACTAAAATAACGTAATTGCGTGCCTTGAGAAAGTAAATCGTTTGCCGCAAAATCGATTTCTTTTTCGGATTCCTCGTATCTGATTGTTTGTAGAGAGGTTCTTTTTTGTAAGACCGTATATTAAATGAATTGGGAATAGATTTTGAAGATGTTTATTGAAAGGTCTGACGGCACTTGACGGTTGCCACGACTGTCGACTAAAAAAAAGTTTTGTTTGGCTTCTTGCAATAATTGCTCGGTTTGTATTTATGTTTGTTACTAACTAGCTCTTAGAGATAGCGTGTTTGGTTTGTTAATTGCTGTTTGTGGGTGGAGTACTTAGTGAAGGTAATAAAGCTGTTGTGTAAAGCATTTCCTTTAGCGTACGAGAGAAATGTTTATTCAACGTAAAATTTCAAATTTGAATTACATACGTGAGATTCTAGCATCCAAGGTCAACATATTTGAGGATTTAAACATACAAATACAGAAGAAAGGAAAATAGAAACAAAGACATATATCTATACTATTATAATAAAGCGTAAACACATACTTCTTTGCTGCCTAAGATGACAGCAATTATAGCATATTTTTGAATAATCCTTTTTTTAATAAAAAGCCCTACACTTTACACAATAAACTTCACTTCACATTAAACTTAGGGGGTAAATATTTTGGATAAAAACTCTTATGTGGGAAAGAGACCATAAGTTGCTACCAACATCAAGAAAGAAAGATTGCTAAGGTTTGGCATGTCATGTCATGTCATTTTGACATTTGCTATTGAGAATTTGACAAATGTGAACAACATCTTTTTTTATAATTCTACGCGGATGAATCCGCACGCAAGCAGCTAGTAAATTATAAGTAATAAGTAATGACCGAATTGTATCGCCCAGTTAAAAAGAAAACTCAATTATCAAAGTCAAAGAACTTTAATGATGTCAATGTTTATATTTTGTAGACGACGTATCAATCAAATTTCATTGAAAATGAAATCTAAACGCAAACATAGATAACCTATCTGTAAAATAATTGCTTTTATTACGGCATATGTTTATAACAATTGCACGTTGGGTGGTCCTCGCTGGCTTTGTAATGTCGCGAATGGAAAAAAATAAAACGTTTCATGTTTACCAAACGGATTACTTTGTAGCCGTGAATTCTGGTTATTTCATTATTATTTATAACTGTTACTAAAATCGTTTCTTAACTCGCTTTGCTTTTCAATAATTATTTTTCTCCTTAACGTCTTAAGGAATTCTGCAAGCTTTGAAATTAAATTTTCAATATTTCAGCATTTTAAGATTTCAAAAAATTCTTTGGAATTAGTAAGGCGATTCTAAGTGTTAATAAGTAATTTTCTAGAGTGTTCCAATGCCTTACTAATTATTGATATGAATGATTATATCCAGCCTTGACTACTCCAAAAAAAAAAAACGAGACAAATATGATTGTTTATCTTTCGTGCACTCAACTATCAAAATGTATATTTGACCCAAATTCATTGACAATTTCTTACTCAATCGCATGATAACGTATTTTCGTTTCCTTCAGTCTTTATACCGTTGGAAATAGATTATATTTTACATTGCATTGTGTTAGATATATTGATATTGACATTATTTAGGTTTGTGAGAATTTCACCTGCTCTCCTTATGTCTAGATTCTCGCAAGTGGTCAAGTATTTGATGTCAAACTGATTACGAAATGGAAAATTTATTCGGCGTCCAAGTTTTGTAAGTATGTTACCAATAAATCGTAAACTTGGTTAGCTTTACATTGAGCATTAAATATTTTGTTTCTCAACGAATTTTTTAGTCTCCACTTTTGGGCGTTGCATTTATAAAGATAATAGATATTACGATACGTCTGTAGCAAATTATATAATGACGAAAGCGAACCATATACGAAAACAAAGAATCATAAAGTTTGAGCTTATCTTCCAAAGCTCAATATGTGAAATGTTTTTGTTTCCTATTTGTGTCTTAGTCTATAGATACTACGATAATACGCGTTAATGCTACAAGCTTATTAAAACGCTGAATATATTCTTTGTAATACTATGCTTCTATTACTAACATTACGCACAATAAGTTCAGATGTTGGATGTCACTGCGTGCGGTATTAGTGTCAATGCCATACGGTGATACTGCGAATGTGGTCTAGTAAGTAGACCGGCCGCGCGCCAATATCATGTTGCTTGGTAATTTAACTATTGACAGTAACCTTAACACTTGATATGTGGGACTTTAGGACACGCGATATTGCCAACAAAAAACTCATAAAGTTTCCTCTTCAGTTGAAATTGAAGAAAAGTGGCAGCTT